AATTATGAAAAATTATAAAAATGATCATATAGATCTTGTAAATTAAATAGTAATGCAGAATGATATTTTGAAAGTATACATGATATTTAAAAAATATGAGGGCAAAATTGGATATCAATATTAACCAACTAGGAATTACTCTTGCTTTGAAAGCAAAATACTTGTAAGTGAAGAAAAGAAAACACCACCGCCTTGGAAGGCTATTAATATGGGTGCTCCTTAAGATCTTTATCATCAAAGCTTCGGCCCTATCTTTTCCCTTTATGAGGGAAAAATTGGATATCAATACTAACCAACTAGGAATTACTCTTGCTTTGAAAGGAAAATACTTGTAAGTGAAGAAACAAAAACACCACTGCCTTAGAAGGCTATAAATAGAGGTGCTCCTTAAGAGCTTTATCATCAAAGCTTCGGCCCTATCTTTTCCCTTTAGCTTTTATTTTTCCTTGCACTTCCTGACCTTGTTGTAGGGTATCCGTGATACAGAGAATTAAGATTCTCTCATGAAAGTCTTTCATCATGTTGTCAAAATTTCCTTTCTTCACCATATGATTAACTTTAATTTCAAGCAGTAACGTTCTTCCTTTCTATTGCAGCATCAGCTAGCTTTGCGCGCTTGCACAAAAGAAATCGCATCTTGTTGTAGGAGTATCCAAGTCATGAGCCGCTTGATCCTACTAAAAATAGACTCAGAGGACTACTTCGTATCACAAATTCATAGTCAACTCCTTCTGGGTCGTCTGAAACTAATCATTGAAGTTGATGTATGCATCTGCCTGCTGATCTCGCAGCTTTGCGCACCTTCAGAGAAAAAGTCGCATCATGGTGTAGGAGCGTCAAAAATACAGGCCACTTGATTTCCTTGACACTAAACACGGAGTGCTGCAACATATCAAAAATTTGAATCCAAATTCGGTGTGTAGTGTCTCAGGAATATTTCTAAATCTTCGCTTCAGATTCTGCTGCGCTCAGTTTTTCAGCTTTGCGCGCCTTCACAGAAAGATTTATATCTTGGTGCAGGAATATCTGAATCACAAGCAGTTTGAAGATATAAAAACTAGGCTCCGCAAGCTACGACTTCTGTAGATCACTATCAGATTGCTCCTAGATCGTCCCAGATACTATTCAGAAGTTACACAGCGAGTTCCGACATGCTGGATCTTTCAGCTTTGCACACTCTCGTCAAAAAATTCATATCTCGAGATAGGAGTGTCAAAATCATGAGCCGTTTGTACCGTTGAAAGGAAGAATATGAGAGATACAAAACATATAAAACTCGAATCCATACACTTTTTTGATCCAGTCACAATAAGTTTTTGAATCAAGCTCTGAAATCGGGAGGATATTTATTTTTGGGCAGCATACTTTTTTGCAGGTTTGGCGAGGGAAAGCTTGGCGCATCCTCATCTTTGTGGCATTGGAGCAACAAAACTTGGCCCGTCCACATTTTCACTTGAGGCTTTGGCGGACAACAGTTTGGTGCATCTACCTATTTAGTCGAGGTTTGGCAAACACACAATTACTACTCGCATTCCGCCTCTGCCTTAGAAGGAGTTTCATGGCGTCCTCTTATTGCATTTTGGCGAAGAAGTCTATGGTGATTTCTCTATCCTAGATCAGGTGAAGAAGTAAATGATCATCACTCTCCCTTTTGCAGGCGAGGAGGTGCGTGGAACTTCTCATCTATCGAGCCCTTGCGTGTATGATCTTTTCTTGCAACTTAGCGAAGAAGTTCATAGAGCATCCTTCCCTGGGATTTGACAAAATAATCTATGGAGAATTTCATGCTTCAAGGTTTGGCAGAGAATTGCATGTCACAATATTCACCATCCACATTGAAGCATTGTGTCGTTGACAACGGTACTTGTTGCAGAACTAAAGCTTTGTGTCATTGGCACTGATCAAAGAAATATAACCAAAAGCTTCGTGCCATTGGCACCGGGGGCTCTTAAATCTTTTCTCTTTTGCAGATTTTCGAGAGAATATTAGCAATCTTGATATCCATAAGAAAATTCACTAGAGGTACACATGATTGGGAACGAACCATTCGTCTCTTTATTGCGGCTTGGCGAGAGAATCTCGTGGCGTATTCCTACTTTTGCGGCTTGGAGAAGGGGATATTTGGTGCAACTCCTTTTCACCTTTGGAGAGAAAGCATATGACGCATCCCATCCTTTACGGCTTGGAGAGATCAACACTTGGAGTACTACTCTTGCATCCTTTGCGAGAAAGTATGTGAAGAAGCCATCCTGCAATCTTTGGCGTGGAACCACCTTTTCTTGCAATTTGTTGAAGAAATATATGGAGTATCTTAACCTTCAAGATTTTGCGTGAAACCACATCTTTTTGCAATTTGGTGAGGAAGTTCGCGAAGTGTCCTAACCTTCTATCTTTAGCATCAAACGACCCCTTATTGCAACTTGGTGAAGAAGTTTATGGAGTGTCTTAACCTCCAAGCTTTAGCATAAACTACGTCTTCTTGCAATTTGGAGAAGAATTTTATGGAGCATTCTATCCTCCAAGCATTGGAGTAGAACAAGCTCTTCTTTCATATTGGAGAAGAAGTGCATAAAACATTCTTTTCGATACTCGATGAAATGATACATATAGTGCTCCATCTTTCTAGCTTTGGAGGAGAGCATTATCGGATTCTCTTTGTCATCATGATAAAGTTGATTTTTTTTTAAATTTATGTGAATGAACTTAGAACAAAATTCTAAGTTGCCTACGTACCTCCGCAAAGAGGATCAAGTCATTACGTAGTTCAAAAGAATTACATGTATATTTTTTGTATACAACTTATACTCGTGCAGACAATGAGTATAGAAACTCGAAGACTTTGCTCAAATTTGAATAGCTTTACATCTTGAAGACTTGCTTAATCTAAAGAGCTTTGCATCTCGAAGTTTTTGCTCGAATTTGAAGAGCTATGCAACTTGAAGGCTTTGCTCGAATTTGAAGAGCTTTACATCTTGAAGACTTTGCTCGAATTTGAAGAGCTATGCATCTTGAAGACATTGCTCCATTTGAAGAGCTTTGCAACTTGAAGACTTTTCTCGAATTTGAAGAACTTTACATCTTGAAGACATTGCTCGAATTTGAAGAGCTTCGCATCTTGAAGACTTTGCTCCATTTGAAGAGCTTCACAACTTGAAGTATTTTCTCTAATTTGAAGATCTTTGAAAGTTGGAGATTTGGCTTGAATTTGGAAATCTTTTCAACTTGAAGACTTTTCTCAAATTTAGCGAGCTCTGCAAGTTGAAGATTTCGCTTGAATTTGAGGATTTTCGTGACACACAGTTTAAACTCGTGTATCAAGGAGCATCATAACTTGCAGTTTAGGCTCGTGCATTGAGTAGCGCTTTTACATGCAGTTTAAGCTTATGCGACAAGGAACATCATGACTTGCAGTTTAGGCTCATGCGTCAAAGAGCGTCATGACTTGCAGTTTAGGCTCATGCGTCAAAGAGCGTCATGACTTGCAGTTTAGGCTCATGCATCAAAGAGCGTCATCACTTACAGTTTAGGCTCATGCGTCAAGGAGCGTCATGACTTGTAGTTTTGGCTCATGCGTCAAAGAGCGTCGTAACATGCATGGGCTCTTCAGTTTCATCTTCGGATGAATACTTGCCCCCATTCTCAGCATCGTCTGCTTCTATTTCATAATGAGGCTCAAAGACAAGAAATATTTGGTCTCCACTTGTAGACATACTCAAATCCATATCATGTGCACGGGTGGACAACTCTTCAAATGTTTTAGGCTTTATTCCTTGCAAGATGTAGCGAAGGGCCCAACACATACCTTGGATGCATATTTCGTTGCCAGAAGTTTCGCTAAGATGGTCTTTGTAGTTGAGACTTAAACTCCTCCAGCGATTGATGAATTCGATAACTGGCTCCTCCTTCTGTTGGCGGGCATTTGAAAGTTCAATCATGCTCATAATGCACTTCATGCTATAGAAGCGATTGAGGAATGTTTGCTCGAGTTGCCCCCAACTATCAATGGAACCAGGTTCAAAATGTGTGTACCAATCGAAAGCATTTCCTTTGAGAGATCGAACAAACTGTTTGACAAGGTGATCATCATAAGTTCCAGCATCATTGCATGTCTCGACAAAGTGTTAAATATATTGCTTGGGATTCCCTTTGCCATCGAATTGTTAAAGCTTAGGAGGTTGATATCCGCTTGGTATCTTCAAGTTATCAATCCTTTGTGTGTATGGCTTTGAGTATGTAAGGAAAGTTTTACGCGAAGACAAAATTTTATCTCTGATGGCCCCTATGATGAAGTCCTTCAATTGTTCAACATGAATCTGTCCATCAGAAGAGACGTGGAGCTCTTTGGTCATTGTTGCTAGCTTTATAGAGGACTCTCCTTTTTGTTGAATTTCTAGAAGCTTCATAGGTACTTGGGTTGATTCTTCCTCCGTCATACTCTCCACGGTATTCATCAACTTGGAAAGTTTATCATCTTGATATTTTATGTACGTTTTTAGGTCTCCAACTGCTTTTGTCAAATTTGCAAGTTGTTCTTCTATGGTAGAAGTTTCAATCATCATCATTTGCAGGACCACCATAGAGGACGAAGAATGGTATGTATGATCACTTTGATAGAGATCATATCGTAGAGTGACACGAGGAGAGATTGGAGAAAGTTCGTTGCTCAAGACATCATTGTCTTTCTGCTTGAAGGAATTGTGGGACTGGCGATGGCATTCTTTTGAAAGGCTAAATCGCGCCAAAGTTCGTTTGACCACCTCAGCGATGTTGTTCCCTTCTTCTAGCATGCAGGAAGATGATCCTACTTCTTTTGGAGAAGATGAACCAAAAACATGAGTTGTGGACGACACTTCAAGCACTTGTTGTCCTATTATTTCGGCTTTTTTTCTTTTGATTTGGCTAACAATCTCCATGGCAACTTCCAATTCGCTTTTGGAGTCAGATATAGGGTTGATTTTCATTGAGGTCATCTGGGTGTTCTTGAACATCTAAGTGAAGAGATGAGAAGTAGAGATCGTCTCACTGGGCGTGCCAAAATTTGTAACAACTAAATTTCGTTCCTGAAAAATAATAATCAAGACAAGAAATATAGCGACAAATATTATATTCAATTTCAAGTGATGGGGTTACAATCTCTAGAATACCTCGAATCTAAAAAGATGTGGTCCTCTGATTCTCCTCTTCACGAATGATGGTTCAAGAGCTTGAGAGCTTGATCTTGAACTTGACGGATTTCAAATTTGCGGTGCGTCACGAATAACTTGAAGCTCGTCACGAACTAGGATTTCTTGTTGGGTTAACACAAACGGAAGATTTGAAGCTGCCAGCTTATGATTTGAGTTCGCCTTTGGAATTTAACCACATACGACGATTGCAGATATAGATAGAGACCTTGATGCTATTATTCAGATCTTCTTTAGTCTTTCCTTCTGCTTACTTTCTTGTTCTTCTAGCCTTCTGATTTCTGGGGTCCCCTTTAGCCTTCCCCTTTGAACTCATTATATAGGTGTGAGTGGAGTAGCCTCCAAGGAAACCCTAGTGGCCATTGGGTTTGAGGCCCATGGGCAGACCCATTTGATAGAAGAATGGGCTTGTGCAATTGTATTGGACTTTTATTTAAATCAATTTGATTAGATTTAAATAATTAACCTAATTATATTAGTCCATCATATTTATTTGGACTAATATATATTTTATTTGAGATAAAATCCAAGTTTCTTGTAAATTTAAATTTAATAAAATTTAACTGTCTACAACAGGGTTCTACGGTGGCAAGGTCTTGGGGATTGGTAAGGAATATGAAGGTCTTTACATACTGCAAGAATGTGCAAAGGCAGCAAGAATAACAATGTGTGCTGTTAAAAGGAGGAAAACACCAAGCTATGGCATCTCAGATTAAATGAAAGCTATAAAACATATAGCTTCACTACAAAATGATGTTAGTGGAAAGGAATTGGAAAACTGCATTGTTTGTCCTTTATCCAAACAATATAGATTACAGTTTCCTACTAGCACTACTAAGTCTACCAGTATATTTCATCTCATTTATTTAGATGTATGGGGACCTTATAAGACTCCAACCTATGATAGAAAATAATACTATTGTTGATGACTTTAGTAGGTACACTTGGGTCTGCTTGAAAGAATCAAAGTGTGAAGTCTATGTTGTTCTGAAGAATTTTATTTATGCAATAAAAACTCAGTTTCATGTGAATATCAAGATTCTAAGGAATGACAATGGTACATAGATTTTCAATTCCAAATGTAATGAATTATTGTCTTCTTTAACAGTATTGATCAAGGCAGTTGCTCATACACACCTCAACAGAATAGGACTGTAGAGAGAAAACACATACATATTTTGGAGGTAGCTAGGGCCTTGAGATTTCAGAGTGGCATACCTATTAAGTTTTGGGGTGAGTGTGTTAGAACAACAAACTACTTGATCAATAGGCTGCCTACACAGGTCCTAGAAGGAATGACTCTCTATGCTATGTTGTGTGGGAAAACACCAAACATAGATCATTTGAGGGTGTATGGATGTCAATGTTATGCTATCATATTGCCAGGAGGGACAAGTTTGCAGCTCGAGCATCAAGGGTAGTATTTATTGGGTATTCTGAAACACAGAAGGGTTTTACATTATATGATATAGAAATAAAAACTCTCTTTGTCAGTAGAGATGTCAAGTTTCATGAGTATATATTTCCCTTCCAACATGATTCTCTTGATGACAAGAAACTTTTTCTATAACTCTTAGAGAATGCTCAACGCCAGAGCCATCATCCACTCCAATTCATACTGAGCAAAGTCCACCAGCATCTCCTACCATTGCACCAGAACCTCATGAACCTCATCCCAATTCCCCTCAATCTTCTTTAGCAAATATCAACACAACCTCTGTAGAAGAGGGTTCTAGTTCAGACAATACAGAGATTACTGATCCTTCACTACCTCAACATGTTGATACAACTGATTCTTCATCTATTCTACCATTATTCTTGCCCTCCTCTCAGCTACCTTCCCCACCGGCAGTGATTGCTTCTAGACCACACAGACATACATGACCTCCAATTTGGCTAAAGGACTACATCACTGTAGCCTGCCTTCCAGGAAAGAGCAAATATCCTATCTCCAATCATGTTACTTATGATCACTTGTCTCCAACATATCAGTTCTACTTAAAGGTTTTCTCAGTAGTCATTGAATCAAATACCTACAAGGAGGCTGCAACTGATCAGAATTGGGTTCATGTAATGGAACAGAAAATCAAAGCTCTTGAAGATAACCACTCCTGGGATATAGTGGATCTGCCTGCAAACAAATTGACTATAGGCTTTAAATGGGTCTATAAAGTTAATCATAAAACTAATGGTGAGATATATAGGTACAAAATAAGGTTAGTGGATAAAGGCTACACTCAACAAGAGGGGATTAACTACCATGAAACCTTCTCACTTGTGGCAAAAATAGTGACAACAATGACAATCATTGGTGTTGCATCATCCAAAGGTTGGCCTCTGTTCCAAATGGATGTCTATAATGCATTTCTCCAATGTGATATGTTTGAGAAAGTCTATATGTAGATTCCCCATAGATTTAATAGCTAGAGGGAGTCCAAAGTATATAGGCTGCTAAAATCCTTATATAGCTTGAAACAAGCCTCAAGATAATGTAATATCAAGTTGATAGATGCACTTCTTCAAGTTGGTTTTATGCAAAGTAGCTATGATCACTCTTTATTCACAAAGAAGACCAATAAAGACATTGTAGTTATCTTGGTGTGTGTAGATGATCTTCTATTAACAGAAATTAGTAACAGTCTCATTGAAGAGGCAAATGCAACATTACACAAGAACTTCAAAATGAAGGATCTAGGTGAGCTCTAATACTTCTTAGGAATTGAGATGATAAGGTCAGATAAAGGCATTCTCCTCAACCAAAGAAAGTATGAATTGGATCTAATTTCAGAGGTTGGTTTGAGTGGCTGCAAGCCAGTCTCAACACCTATGGAGCAAAATCACAAACTCACCACTATTGATTATGATAAGCATGTTGGTAATACTGTAGATGCTCTACTGGAAGATGTCTGTAGCTATCAAAAACTGATTGGTAAGCTAATATATCTAACAATTACAAGGCCATAAATATGCTTTGCAGTCCAAGTGCTAAGCCAGTTTATGTAGTCTCCTAAGGAGTCCCATATGGAAGCAGCATTAAGAGTAGTCAGATACATCAAAGGAAGCCTTGGACTAGGGATCCTCTTGAGCAGTAGACAAACTAATACTCTCACAGTATACTGTGATTCAGACTGGGCAGCATGCCCAAATACAAGAAGGTCTGTCACAGGTTATGTGGTTAAATTGGGAGACTTATTGCTATCTTGGAAGTCAAAGAAACAACAAATATGGATGACGGGCTTACTAAAGGAGCGAGGCAACAATGTAGAAGAACATGTACACCTACATTATGACAGCAAAATAGCTTTACAAATAGTTGTCAATCCAATCTTTCATGAGAGAACCAAATATATAGAGATAGATTGCCATTTTGTTAGAGAAAAAATCAAGGAGGGGTTGATCAAGACAGAGTATATACCCACAAAACAGCAACTTGCAGACCTAATGACTAAAGGACTACGGACAACTCAACATGAGTTATTGATGGTGGTCGGTTACGTTTGAAACAATAGCAGGATGTGAACGTTATGAACGGAAACTGGAGCAAAGATTGATCCCTTTAGGAGAACGATTACTTCTTGGATTACCTGCAAAACTTAAAACACGATGCATGCAAGTATATATGGATTATTGCGAGAATTTAAATATGATGCAAATTCCCTTTGGACTATGAAAGTTGTCTTTGGACTGTGAGGATGATGTCCTTAGACCATGACGTCCTGGGCCATGAATCATGTGACAAAGGATTTGAAGGCCATGTAATGATGTCCTCGGGCTATGATAATGGTGCCTCTAAACCATGATGCCTTCGAATAATGATGTGCACTTTTGAGAGATCCTCAGCCGTGGAATTGTGTCTTCCGGCTCTGAGGATTATGCCTTCAGACTATGACGCCTTTTGACAAAATGGCGGTGTTTCAGCCCATGGAATGCAAAGACATAATGTTTGGTCATATGCAAAAATACAACAAGACAAAGCTTAGTCTTGTGTAATGTGAGGGCAATGCTTAGCCCTGGGTGTGTAGAGGATAGTGTCAGATTTTAGATAGCATAATGGAGATAGCATTTAATCATGAGGAAAGACAGTGCTTAGCCTTGTGGAATTAGGGAGGCAATGTTTAGCCCCATGTAGGAAGAGGAGACAATTCTTAGTCTCATGCAAGTAAGGGAAACGATGCTTAGCTTCAGGCAGGAAAGGCAATGTTTAGCCTTATGCAATTAAGGAGGTAGGGCTTAGCCTCGTGAAAATAGGGAGGCAGGGCTTAGCTTCATGCGAATAGGAGACAATGCTTAGTATCATGCAAGGAAAGGTAGTTATTAGCCTTGTGCAGTCAGGGAGGAAGGGCTTAGCCTCATGCAAAATAGGAGACAATGCTTAGTCTCATGCAAATAGGAGACAATGCTTAGTCTCGATGCAAAGAAAGGAGACAATGCTTAGTCTCATGCAAGGAAAGGACAGTGCTTAGCCTTGTGCAACTAGGGAGGCAGGCTTAGCCTCAGGCAAAATAGGAGACAATGCTTAGCCTCATGCAAAGAAAGGCAGTGTTTAGCCTTATGAAGTTTAGAAGGCAGGGCTTAGCCTCATGCAAAATAGGATACAATACTTAGTCTCATGCAAATAGGAGACAATTCTTAGTCTCGATGCAAAGAAAGGAGACAATTCTTAGTCTCATGCAAGGAAAGGGCAGTGCTTAGCCTTGTGCAGTCAGGGAGGCAGGGCTTAGCCTCATGCAAAATAGGAGACAATGCTTAGCCTCATGCAAAGAAAGGCAGTGTTTAGCCTTATACAGTTAAGGAGGCAGGGCTTAGCCTCATGCAAATAGGAGACAATGCTTAGTCTCATGCAAATAGGAGACAATGCTTAGTCTCGATGCAAAGAAAGGAGACAATGCTTAGTCTCATACAAGGAAAGGCAGTGCTTAGCCTTATGCAATTAGGGAGGCAGGGCTTAGCCTCATGCAAAATAGAAGATAATGCTTAGTCTCGATGTAAGGAAAACGATGAGTGATAGTAGAGTGTTTCTTAGCTGGAGATGCTTGGGATAGATAATCTGCTATCTTGAAGGTAGTGACCTGATGTGTCTGCAGATATTATTATCTTACTGTGCCTACATCCAAAGAAAAATTGTGAGTTTTGTAGGGGAAGGTTAGTTCGTGCTTTTATCTTCTACTTTACCTGTGCTCCTGTCTTGAGATCCTGTTTGGGTCACCCTTGTTAACATCTAGCTATTTATAGAAATAAAGTTTTTTGAAAGAAATGCGTGCATTTGATGAGCGTGGTTATTTAAAATATAGTAGTATGCAATATCGACTAAGTTAGATGAACCAATGACTGTGACATATTTTAGAGACATTGCTGCTTCCTTGCTCTAGAATTTTGAGGATCCTCCTCAAAATTCTGCCCCTGTTTAAAAGTAATTCTTTGATTGTTCTGCGTATGACAAAATTGGCTGGAGTTGCTTTATAATTTCGAAGGTCCTCCCTAACATTCTGCCCCAGTTTTTGACCATGGAAAAAATGAAGATTTTATTGTGATGTGACGGAACCCACAGGGCTGCCTACGTATCCCCTCTTAAACAGGAATCAGATCAAGCGTAGTTCAGTTACATGAAGAAATGTAAATAATCTAAACATAGTATCTCTTGACTGCGTCTGAGTTGATAGGTTTTGGCCAAACTTCTCCGCCCATCTCTACGAGTAT